TATTCTAGAAGGCCCCCTTAAGCAAGGCACTTCCTAAGCACTAACTGTAGGATCATGTGATACCTATAGAGAAAGACAAGAGTCTACCGTTTAGACCGTTATACCAGCTATTAGAAAAAGAGCTAAAGGTACTAAAGGAGTACATTAATGACAACCTAAAAACAGGACACATTAGGCCATTAACATTGTTAGTAGGAAGCCTAGTACTGTTCGTACCTAAGAAGGATGGCTCCCTAAGACTGTGCGTCAACTACTGACCCTTAAATAACATTACAATTAAGGACCGGTACGCACTACTACTACTCTATGAAATGAACGATAGATTTCAAGGAGCAACGATATTCACTAAGCTAGACCTATAAGGCACGTATGCTCTAGTTTAGATTAAGGCTAGGGAAGAGTGGAAAACAGCATTCTGCACCTGCTATAGCTTATTTAAATACCAGGTCATGCTGTTTAGGCTTACTAACGCCCCTGCTTTGTTCTAATGCTTAATGAATGACACCCTACACAAGTACCTAGATGTGTTTACAGTAGTATACCTAGACGACATCCTAGTATACTTGAAAACAGAAGAGGAACATGTTAGACATGTAAAGCTAGTCCTAGCTAAGCTAAAGGCAAGACAGCTCCTCCTTAAACTAGAGAAATGCAACTTCTATAAGCAAGAAGTTGAATTCCTTAGACACCTAGTTAGAACAAAGGGAGTCCGGATGGATCCTAAGAAAGTTAGCATAGTCTTAGACTAGCTGACCCTAACAACGGTTAAAGAAGTGCAGGCCTTCTTAGGTTTCGCCAACTTCTACTAAAGGTTTATTACAGGATATTCTAAGGTAGCTTAGCCACTTACAGAGCTCACCTGGAAAGACCTCGCGTTTAACTAGACAAACAAAGTAGAGGCTGCATTTTAAGAACTTAAGACAAAGTTCATAGAAGCACCCATCCTAGCTACGTTTAACCCTAAAAAGAAGATCATCCTTAAGACAGACTCTTCTAACTTTGTGATTAGAGCATGTCTAAATTAACTAGACGAAAACGGCAAACCTAAGCTAATCGCGTACTACTCTAGGAAACTGTCACCTATGGAACTTAATTACAACATCCACAACAAGGAGCTAATAGCCATTATTATTGCCTTTAAGTAGTGGCGAGTATATCTTAAGGGGTCTACCTACCCTATGTAGGTGTGGACGGATTACAAGAACCTTATATACTTTACTACGACTAAGGTTTTAAACTGAAGACAAGTCTGCTAGGTAGAGACACTCGCAGCCTATAACTTCACAATAGCGTACTAAAAGGGCTCTAATAATGTAAGAGTAGACGCACTTAGTAGAAGGACTGACTACATTAGCCTAAAAGAAGAAAGACCTAGAGTAATATTAAAGAAAACAGACGTAGGCATGTAATACAACGAGCTTCTAGCAACGATCACTATAGTAGAAGACTCAGAACTAGAGGAAAGACTCAAGAAGGCTTACGCCATAGACAAATGTGCAAAGCGAGTCTTATCTAAGGTTGAAGGCAACTTTGCTATTAACGAACAAGGCCTAATTCGATTTAAAGGGTTAGTGTATATCCTAAGTCAAATAAGACGCCCGCTAGTGTAAGAACAACACTCGTTGCTAGCACACGGCCATTAGGGAGTAACACGAACCTTTGAACGAATCACCTAACACTACTACTTCCTAGGCTTGCGGAAGCAAGTAGAAACAGTAGTAAGAGAGTGCGACATTTGCAGTAAGTCAAAATCTAACAGGCACTTGCCTTATAGACAGCTCATGCTGACACTAGTACTAAAAGGAGCGTAGAAGTTAATAGCTTTAGACTTCGTCGTTAAGCTACTACCCTCTAAAGATCTGCTAATAGGAATAGAGTACGACTCTATCCTCGTTATTACAGAAAGACTTATAAAATATAGGAAATTCATACTATACCTTAAAGCTAGTAACACTAAGGCGCTTGCATATACCTTCATTTAAGTCATATTAGCTAATCATAGGATGCTAGAAGAAATCATCTTAGATAGGGACAAGCTCTTCACTTTAAAATTTTAGAGATCATTAATAGCGCTGTTAGGAACAAATCACAAGCTGTTAACAGCTTTCTACCCCTAAATAAACGGCTAAACAGAAAGATTGAATCAAACCCTTAAATAATACCTACAGAGTTATGTTAACCATTAGCAGGATAATTAGGTCTAGATTTTACCCATTGCACAATTCGTATATAACAGCGTGATAGCAGAAGTAACGAAAGTCTTGCTGTTCTTTACTAACTACAGCTACTAACTAGAGGCATATAGACACCTAAGACTAGATAAATCACAAGCTGAACAAGCTATAATCGTAGTGGAACAACTAAAATCGTTCCACGAACAACTTGCAACAGATATCTAATTCTTAAACAAACGATCCGCTGCATACGTAAATAGGAAGCGCAGTATAGAACCTGCCT